AGCCCGGGCTCCGTCGGCGGCGCCTGGCCGCAGCTCCCGCTCGAGCCCGGTCCGTCACCGCCGTCTGAGGGGCAGCTCGCCGCGGACCTCCGCTGGCCGAGCGGTGACGTGCCTCTCGAAGGCCAGTTGACCGCTGATCGCGTCCCCGCCCGGCGTCCGCCACGCGGCGCGCGGCACGCCTGGCAGCACGCGCAGGACGCCGTGCTTGACTCCTGGCCAGACCTCCAGGGCGCCGGGCTGGACTCCTGGCGTCACATGGCGGACGCGGAACTGCATCCGTTCCGAGGCGTGCAGGACGCGGAGCTGGCCTCGTGGCGCGACGTGGTGGACGCCGAAATGCAGCCGTGTCGAGACGCACAGGACCCCGACCTGGACTGCTGGCGGGGCGTGGTGGACTCGGCGCCGCCGCCGCCCACGGCCGCCACGCGGCTGGCCGAGGTCGAGTGCGAGCTGACGGTGAGTGAGGACGCGGCAGAGGAGACGACGGCGGCGCCGACGCCGGCCGGGCCGGCCATCGCCGACCTAGCGCCCTACCTCGAGCACAACTACGACTACCCGCTGGAGCCGCTGGTGGCCGGCGAGGTGCGTCCCAGCGCCGACCACGTATACGCGTCGCGGCCAGCCTCGCCTGGCGGCGGCTGCTCGGTCACCGATCACCGGTACGCCTACAGTCCGCCGGCGGCGCTCACCGAGGAGGACCTCATCCGCAGCATCTCCGACCAGCTGGGCCTGCCACAGGACCACGGCTACTCGCAGCGGCAGAGCGCGGCGCCGGTTCTGCCGCTGCTGCCGCCGCCGCCACCGCCTCCGCCCGACTGCGGCCGCGTCGAGCTGGCAGAGCCGTGTCTGGTGACGGAGACGTGCCTGGACTGGGAGCCGGCGCTGGACGGGCCGGCCGGGCACTGGGTCGACCCGAACCTGGTCATGGGCCTCAGCGGGCGGGACGAGCCGGAGCCGCACGCAGGGGACGGCCGGACCGAGTCGGCGGCGCCCGACGGCCGCGCGCAGCAGGAACGCGTGCTGCCCGCCGTGGACGCCGAGCTCGGCCGGCTGCTCTGGGCGGTCCGGCCGCCTCCGCCGCCGCCGCTGCTGCCGTTCGTGGCGGAGGACGCGCCGCCAGCGACCTCTCGTGCCGTGCCAGTCGCCGAGCCGCCGTCACAGGCGAGCGAAACCCCGTCGGAGACTAACATCGTGATCCGGCAGGCGGCGGCCACCGGAACCTCGCCGGCCCCGGCCGCGCCCGACACCGAACAAGTGGTCCGCGACTGGCTGCAGCGGCTGGCCGCCGCGCGGCAGTCGGTGACACGTGACCAGTTGCGCCGCGGCTTGGCGCACCGCGTCAGCGCCGCCCAGCTGCGTGCCCTGACCGCTGGAGGCAGCTTCCTGGCCCGCTGGGTCGGCCGGTGCGTGGCCGAGGAGCCGCCGGCCGCCGACCGACAGAAGCGCGTCAGCTACCCGCCCTACTTTAAGCTGCTGGTGCTGCGTTTTGCACAGTTCATGCCGCTGGATGCGGTCGCCACCGCGTTTTGTATTTCTTTTCCACTGCTGTATAAATGGAAGGTGAAAAGGAACGAGCTGCTGAAAATGGCGAAAGGCAGTGTCAGTGTGCGTGCCAAGGGAGGCGGCAAGAAGAAGCAGGAGTCGGACGTGGATCGCGAGTTCTCTAGGGAGCTGGAGCGGCGTATTCAAGATGCCGCCATCCGGCCCTGCTATGAGGAGGTGCGCCAGATGGCCAGGGAGCTGTACACGGAGCATGGCTTGAAGCTGCCGCGCTCCAGGCGCTGGATGAAAGCTAGCTATAACATCAAGAGCCGCCGCTGCGACGAGAACGCCATCCGTTGGCTGCTCGCCGAGTTTGAGTGTGGCCGCGCCACTACCAGGGCGGCGTTGGATGAGTACGCTGTCGGGCCGGGTGGTCGTTTCTGGTCTCAGAGGCTGTTGTCTCGTTACCCGGAGCTGCGGAAACCGCACTGCACGTGGCAGATGCAGCCGCCGGATCCAATGCTGCGGGAGGTGGAAGAGTGGGCGGCCACGCTTGACCTGCAGCCGGAGCACACTGTCTGCTTTATGGTTGATGTACCTGTCATGAGAGACCCAGGTAAGTATATTTGGTCACGTTAGGAAGCACATTTTATCGTGATTTCTGTGCAGTGCATGGACTTAGGTAGTGCAATAGTGCAAAACGTAAGAAATTAAGTAGTCGAATAAAATATGCAAATAGCATATCTGGAACAAGTGATTCGCGCTTGATGCAAGTCTCATTGGCTTTCGCTGACTGCTGTCATTGCAGTGGCACGATGTCAGTAGCCGTCAAGTTCTGGTCTTCGGTCTCCGCAGAAATGATCCTAAAGTATGTGTCCTAATGAGCTGCCGCCAGCTGTTTAGTCAGCGTCTAGATATTGCGGCGCCGTGTGTTCCCTAGCAGTGAAGGCCACTTGACTCGGTTTCTGTCCGGATGTCCGGTTGCACCGTTGCCTGCCCCTACCTGTGAAGCGCGGCTATGACGGCGCACTGTGCAGCCAATCCCCACCGACTGACGAGTCGTCGGCGCCCGCGCAGCTCCCTGCGCGGTCTGGGCGCGAGGAGGGCCGGATCGCCGAGCCACGCTGCTCATCAGCTGCGCCCTGAGCGGCGCCGTGCAGCCGGCCATGCTGATCCTACCGGTAGGTGGCCATGCAACAGCAGACTTGGCGTCTGAATGAAGTCGCTCTTCGTCACTGTGTGACCAATGCCACCCCAAGTGGCTGGTATCTGCCTCCGTTGGTAATGCCAGGGTTTCGGTATATTTACAGCAGTGAGCGCTGTCGCATTTGTGTTGTGTTGTTGACTTTTAGAAACGAAGTGGGAGGCAAATTTCATGTCCGAATCAGACTTTGGCCCTGACCCCAAGGTCCTAGAAACCCGAGACTCGATCTAAGTTTTCCCGATCATTTAGGTTCTAACCAAGTTGGAGGCGAAAACAGTATTTTAGCAGCAAAACGTATACTATGGAAGATAGCCTGATGTAACATATGTAATTGGTATATGTTGCCGTACCTACTGGCTTGCATTTGGCTGAGTGGGCCAGATTCGTTGCGGTTGGGTTTGGTGTGGTGCGAGTACTTTGAAATAGCTTTGGGTCTGGAGCTGGTTTCGTTAGATTTAACAATGGTCATCAACTTGTGCGCAGGTTAGCAGTCAATTCCTTAGCTCTTCCGATGCCGACTCGGATCAGCGTTATGTTAGCGTGCGATCAAGTCACGGTACGTCGGTTTAGGCTGGGAGCAAGCTTGCCCGATTACGATGTGCACCCTTCACGGCGATTCCTCAAGAAACTGCTCGACTCGAACGAGCTGGCGAATTGGGACTGAGGCACGGGCTTGGCCACAGTCTCCAGCGACTTGGTTCCAGATTGTGAGCCTGATCGGTGGAAAAAGCAATGCGATTCTGACTTCGTAGCATGACAACACTGGACCCGGTCCTCGGACTCTAGATAGAAAGGCTAGTACTCGGACTTCGGTTTCTGGACTCAGAACCATGCCCCATATTACCTGTAGCATGCCAGGTTATTGAATTAGGCCAGAAAGCGCCCGTACTCCCGATTTTCGACTGTGCATGTGCTGTATAAAAACGGTCAAAATGATTAGCACGAGACCATATCTACTTCTGGTTTACGGAATGTTCTTGTGCGGCCGGGCACGGAAAGGTCCATGCAACAGGTCCTTCAGCGAGTATACTACGTTTCGGGTGTTGACCAGCGGGTGCATCATGTCTTAGGGCGTTAATCAGCAGTGTACCATGCCCCATAGTGCCAGTCAGCTGGTGTACCCTTTTGGGGATGTCAGCCGGCTGGTGTCCCCTGCTCCAGGGTGTCAGCCGGCGGGTGTCTCCTGTCCCAGGGTGTCGGCCGGCGAGTGTCCCTTGTTCCAGGGTGTCAGCCGGCGGGTGTACCCTGTTCCAGGGTGTCAGACGGCTGGTGTCTCCCGTTCCAGGGTGTCAGCCGGCGAGTGTCCTCTGTTCCAGAGTGTCAGCTGGCGGATGTCTCCTGTTCCAGGGTGTCAGCCGGCGAGTGTCCACTGTTCCAGGGTGTCAGCTGGCGGATGTCTCCTGTTCGCGAGCGTCAACTGGCGGGTGTCTCCTGTTCCAGGGTGTCAGCCGGCTGGTCTCCCCTGTTCCCGAGCGTCAGCTGGCGGATGTCTCCTGTTCCAGGGCGTCAGCAGGCGGGTGTACTCGGACAGCAGCGGCCTGCTGACGGCGCAGCAGCCGGACGGCCGGCTGGACGCGGCACGCGCCGGCCTCTGGCTGCAGCTGGTGGGCAGCCGCGGCCCGGCCGGTCCGCTGCTGGTGAACGCCGCCTGCGCGCCGCGGTCCGAGCCGCTGTGCCGACAGGCGGCGGCGGTCGGCCGGCGCCTGCTGCTGGTGCCGCCCGGCCTGGCCGTGCTGGCCAACCCGCTGATGGCCGGCCGGCATCGGCTTATGGTAAGTGCGCGGGCTGCCGGCGCCGACGCCGAGGTGGACGACGGTTGACAGTCGGTCGTATTACGCGTCTTCGATTTAACGTACTTCGACTTCATATACGTGCATGTGCACGGTACAGCCGTTGGGTCGAAGGGACAGTGCGCCAACACAATGATTAGGATGATCATCACTTTCAATCACTAACCTCAGATATGTTCTTAAGTCACTCGTCTGACGGGTCCTCCGGAGCTAAATGGGCACTCTTGTTTAGTCTGTCGCCGGAAAACGCCTGTCGTTTTCGTGCCATGCAAACCTGCCACCCAGGCGGATCGGGTAATATCCCGTGTCATTTAATCCGGTCAGCCTGTGGTCCAGCCGCCTTCGCAACGTGTGCTAGCGTGCATGGAGTTTTTCAAACGCTGGATGAACACGATTGCTGCTGAGGGGAGTTTCGGACCCGCCTCTTCCGTCGCCAGGCTCCCCTGCCGGCCGACCCGTGCAGGGGAGCCTGGCCTGCTGACCTGCTGTTTTTCGTCAGCTATCCCTTGCGGCTGACGCGGATGGAGACGAGGCTGACCTTCTGACCGCGGTGCGTGCGCAGCTGGCCAGCTGGCGTTGGTCCAGTCAGCTGACTGAGGCCCTGGCCAGAGTGCGGTACCTGTACCAGCCACACCACCAGCGGGAGGTCTAGCCTGCGGCGGACATCAGCTCCAGCGAGGACTATGGCCGCCGCTGGCCGGTCGCTGCTCCTGTGGTGACTTCCCAGACAGCTACAGCCAGGTGACCGCTGTTCCTCTGGTGATATTGGGACACATGGGTATCAAGATTAAGACCTGCAGTCACAAGCTTTTGTCCCTAATATGTGTTTCTCCACACATGCGACGTGTTTTCGTGCTCTGGTGGTTGGAATAGGTTGTGTTCTTTTGTAGCGTCGGAGTAAGGACTCCTGTTCTCGTACCGACCGTTTGGATGGTGAAACATTGGTGTAGCTGTTCTGTTTAATGCCTGCCCTGTGTTGTCTGGAGCAGTATCCCCTCCACACTGCAGCCGTGGTTGGGTTGCTGGCAGCTGGTGATGGACGCGGCGCAGCGCTGGAGCGGCCCGATGTGGACGGGGCACGCGCCCGCCAGTAGACGCCACTCGTGCGTTCTGTTCGCCAGAGGCGCTCTGGTGAGTAGCTTTTTGGAACACGCAGACGCACAAGTGACCGTAAGCATTGGCAGGTGTCCGTTGCCCGTGCTAATTGGGTTGCATTGGCCCCCATGGTAATCCTGCATGCACTGTTTTGCATTATTAGCCAGCCAGCAAGTTTGAAAAGGGCCGATTTTTCAATCGTAATCTTCCTTTGAAAACAAACATTTTGGATTGGGTACGTAGCTGTTTTGTCGGTTTCTGTTACGGTCAATTCATTGTTCTTTATAACACCTGTTGAATGTATCAGTGCTTCAATGCCACGCGGATTACAATTGCATGATAGCAGCATCACAGCAACAGTGTTGTGTTAAATACTGATCACTAATATATGCGAAGCATACAATAATGATGTTATGTTGAGCACTGACTTCCCACACATGGATACGCACATGCTCACAGTCCTGTCACATTTCGATGAATCAGCCAATAGCAGTACGCCTGCTGGTCATCACTGGGTCGACGTAGCGTCGAACGCCACTGATTGGCGTCGATGCGGGTGCCGATTGGCTACTTTGTGTTCAGCGATCCGCGCAGGGTGTCATGCGGTGCCATCCTGTGTGACCTGCCACGCTGTCTATCCGTCGATATCCGGCCGACAGGCGGCACCTGGTGTGTGTGACTGAGTTGTTGTGGGTGTGTGACAGGCGTTGTGTTGGTAGTAGGACACGTCAGTCACATGGCTGTTGTGGCTGGTGTGTGCGACCGAGTTGTTGTGTCGACAGTACACGCCAGTCACACGGCTGCCACGGCTGGTGTGTATGTCTGTTACACCGTTGTGTTGGCAGGAGGACACGTCAGTCACATAGCTGCGGCAGCTGGTGTGCGTGTGACAGCCGTTGTGTCGGCAGGACACGCCAGTCACACAGCTGCTGCGGCTGGTGTATGTAACAGAGCCTTTGTGTCGACAGGTGGACACGTCAGTCACATGGCTGCGGCGGCCGGTGTGTGCGACCAGGCCGTTGTGTCGGCAGGTACGAGTCTGTCACACGGCTGCAGTGGCCGGTCGCAGACTGCTGGCGCCTGCTCCGCGGAGGCCGTCCTGAGGTGCGGCCGGTTAGCAGTCACACATCACGTGGCCGTCAGGCGGTCGGTGGCGTTGTCCGCCGTTGCCCTGTGAGCTCGTCTTTGTGACCCGTGCGGGCGTCCACTGGCGGCCTGGGATGGCTCGCTGCGAGCCGGGCAGCGGGGGCGACCGTCTGCTGACCGCGCACTGCCGGGGACACCGCCGTCTGCTGACCGCGCACTGCCGGCGGCGGGGACACCGTCGTCTGCTGACCACGCACTGCCGGCGGCGGGGACACCGCCGTCTGCTGACCGCGCACTGCCGGCGGCGGGGACACCGCCGTCTGCTGACCACGCACTGCCGGCGGCGGGGACACCGCCGTCTGCTGACCACGCACTGCCGGCGGCACCGCCGTCTGCTGACCGCGCACTGCCGGCGGCACCGCCGTCTGCTGGCCGCGCACTGCCGGCGGCGGGGACACCGCCGTCTGCTGACCGCACACTGCCGGCGGCGGGGACACCGCCGTCTGCTGACCGCGCACTGCCGGCGGCGGGGACACCGCCGTCTGCTGACCGCGCACTGCCGGCGGCGGAGACACCGCCGTCTGCTGACCGCGCACTGCCGGCGGCGGGGACACCGCCGTCTGCTGACCGCACACTGCCGGCGGCGGGGACACCGCCGTCTGCTGACCGCGCACTGCCGGCGGCGGGGACACCGCCGTCTGCTGACCGCGCACTGCCGGCGGCACCGCCGTCTGCTGGCCGCGCACTGCCGGCGGCGGGGACACCGCCGTCTGCTGACCGCACACTTCCGGCGGCGGGGACGGAGAAGAGCCGGGCGTTGGAAGAAATGGTAGCGACTTGCTAACTTTAGTCAAACCAGGCCCAGCCCGGGCTCGTATACCACACGCGTGTTTGCTGGCGCTCTGGTGGTTTTGACGAGGCGCGCTGTACTTGACCGCGTTTCTCGTGCAGAAAAGACGGAAATATATTGCAGAGATGACTTCAGTTCCATGAATGTGATGAGGCGTGATGAGATCGGGATTTAAGGCAGTTTATAAGTCCAGAATATAGCGGACATCTGCATAGCGCTTACATCATGACGACTCGGAAGCTCTCTGGATGAACTCATGTATTTCATCAGCACCTAAGGCCTCGGAGGAGCGAGATCGTGGCAAAGAATAGCTATTCGCGGCCTGCTATCAGTCGCTGTCGGTACACTGGGGGAGCATCTGGTACAATCCCAACGTCACCACGCTAATGCGCGACATCGCTGAGAAGTTGGCATGTGCGTGATATCCAAATGTATTGCCCTGCCCAAGTGCGCCATTAATTGTGCCGCGTACATGGAGATAACGGGAATAGGCATTCTCTGTTAGCGCCCGTCGAAACAGCACGGAGCAACACTCGGAGCAGACCTGGACCTGCCCGCAGGAGGGAAGGCGCTGAGGCCATATAATGGGCACCGACCGGCACGTGGCACGGCGTGAGCTGATCCTGCTCCAGAGAACACCGGGCCGTCGCCAGCACAGAGCTGCTGGCTCTTCACGGCACGCCGTGGCTTCTGAGGGTGCAGCTGCGGCCTGCTCTCTTTTGTCCAGCAGCTGTACGAGCTTTATTTTGCAAGGACTGCTCGCCATCGGTTTTGCATCGGTGTTAATGTTCGCAGGATACACCACTACGTATCTGATCGGCAAGCAGACACCAAGAACATGGCGCATCCTGGTATTAACTGAGCTATAGATACACTCCGAAGCATAACATGATTCATTTGTCACTATTTGACTTTACTACATTAAAGTCTGTCCGCTACTACTGACACAGTTGTTTGAGACAGAAAACGATGCTACCGTTGGCCGGCATCAGACAATAGTAAAGCCAAAGCCATAATGTGACCATACCCATTCAACGAGAATGCTCGGCGCACGGCCGCACCCGACTAATACACGTAAGTTTAAGAATCTGAGTCATGGCCCACGAGGAAAGTCGTCATTTGCCCGCTCATTTTGACCAGACATCTCAAATAATCGCCCGTGTGGATCACCTCCCACACCCCCAGCCCCACACCCCCGTGTATTTTTGCACGTCCTCTCGAAATGATCAGCGCATTGTAATGATGTCTGGATTAGCCTAGTTGCATGCCTGCATATACGAACCGTCAATGTGACTCATCACGAAACCAGGTCGCTGGCTTATCACGCATAATATCGCCTTCAAACCCTTCCACGGCGAAAATGTGAAGAAGTAGACGCCAAGCGACTTGTTTTGTCATATATTCCTACACTTGTGCAAGGAACTGAAGTAGTTGTATCATGCACGCAATCATTGCCTATGGCTTTCCTTGAATTATTTGAGGTCGGGTCACATCATAACAAATTGTAAAAATCATGTCAAATTATCTGTCAAAACCATAACATCATGAACCGAACGACCCAAGCTACTGGGATGCACTTGAACTAGCACACATGTCTCTAAAGGTAGCAATTTGTTTCGGCGGTTTATTCAGCGACAAGCTCCAACTTCTCTGAAAACAAGACAGATCTTTAATTAGTGCACGAGAACATTTCAAATGACGTTTATTTTGCAATATCATGCGACTCTCAACACTAAAGGCGGGTCAAAAGACCATGAACTTGATATCACCAAAAAGATACCGGCCGATTTCAAATTTCCAAGCACCAGGATATTCGCCACAGAAAGCACTAGCGCCCGTTAAAATTCCTGACCCCGTACGGTCACCTTTCAAAGTCAAATCCACGCTGCAAGGACGATGAACTCCTTATCACCAAAAAGCTACCGGCAGGTTTCAACTTTTCAAGCATCAGAATATTTACAAGCACAAAAATGATGGGTCGTCGAGAAGTCCTGGAAGCTTCCGGTCACCTTTCATGGTCAAATTCAGGCTCAGACGACGGGCGACTCCATGTACAACAAAGCACCGGTCGATCTGAGCTTTTCAAGAAGAATATTCACGAGCGCATGATCTAGCATCCGTCAAAAGTCTTGACACTTACGGTCACCTTTTATTGTCAAAGCCAGGCTTTAATGACGGGAAACTCCATACCACTAAAAATTCACCGACCAGTTTCAACTTTCCAACCATCAGAATATTCGCGAGCGCAATAACTAGCGCCGGCTAAAAATGCTGAGAACTCCAGGCCGCATCTTAAGGGCAACTTCGGGCTCAGTAGACGGGGAGCTCCACATCACCAGAAAATTACCGGACGATTTTAAATTGTCAAGCTTCAAAATATTTACCACAGAAGAAACTGACGCCTGTCAAAAGCTCTTCAAACCTCCCTGTCACTTTTCAGCCAGTCATTGTCAAGTACAGGCTCAAAGCGCGGGAGCTTCATATGACGAAGAAATTGCTAGCCGATTTCGGAATTTCCAATACCAGGATAGTCACTAGTGCTTGGACTAGCACCCATTAAAAACTCTGACCTCTTTAGGTCATCTTTCGAGGACAAATTCAGACTCAAAGGAGTGGGAAAACGTCAAATACAAGGTTGAGTGTCAGGAAACTTCAAAGCATGCAAAAATTACCGGCTGATTTCAAATTTTCAAGCATGAGGATATTCCCCACAGAGGGGACAAGCCGTCATTAAAAGCTTCCAACCTCTCAAGGTTACCTTTCAAGGCAAACATCCGGCTCAAAGGACGGGGAACTCCATATCACACAAAATTACTGGTCGATTTGAGCTTTTCAAGGATAAGGATATTCACCAACGCATGAACTAGCGTCCGTCCAAAGCTCGCAACCTGTTAATATCACCATTTATGGTCAAGGTCACTCTCAAATGACAGTGAAAGTCTCAGATCGCTGAACAATTACTGACCGATTGCGGCTTTTCTATCATCAGAATATTCACAAGCGCAAGAATTTGCGTCCGTCAAAAAGTTCTGAAAAGTCAAGATCGCATTGCAGGGTCAGATTCCAGCTCAAAGTACGGAAACTCCTTATGACCCCAAAATTACCGGACGATTTTACATTTCAAACATCAGAATATTCACCACAGAAGGTACCAGCGTCCGTCAAAAACTTCTGACATCACTATAAAAACGCCGTCCGATTTCGACTTTTCAATCATTAGAACATTCACCAGTGCCAGAACTAGCGTTCGTCTAAAAGTCATCTCCTCTCAAGGTCACCATACAAGGTGAAATTTAGGTCTATCTCTGGATGACCTTTCACTTAATGTTTTGTGGTGGCGTTTAATGCTGCGGGTGGAGTTCAACGTTTCTTGGTGTAGGGTTCCTTCGGACGCTTGTCTGTGACCATGAGTAATTTCAAGAAGTTTGACGAACGTGTCTTAACGAGAAAGGAATGTGAATGTTTGGTGATTGTGCACCATAGCTGATGTTGAAATACTGGCGATAACCTGTGGAGTGGACGGCATACCTGTAACATTTTATCTCTGTTTTATTCGGCTTTCCAAGACTTCGCCTTTTTAGGCTATCCACACCGTTCTCACCTTACCACAGAGTAACACCAAACAGGAAAATACAAACCTCTCATATGACCGTCTATTCAGACATATGGCCGACGCCGTGACGCCACGACTCGGACTCTCAGGACGACCCAACGACCAGTCACCACCAGGGCACAACACAGGCTGGGCTACACACAGCTGCCGGCTGGCACACATACGCGTACACAAGCAGATCGGCACATCCGGTGGTAGATAACTGGTGCAGAGCAAAGCGTTGTTGGGTGCGCGCGACATACACAGCCGGCGCCACGCAACGCACGGCGATGTAAGAGTCTGTTCCAGTTTGACATGCAGGAAAGCCCAGTCACTTGTGTGCTAATACCAAGCATGCTTCTGAACAGGGGTTCGTCCGATTAGTGTCCTTTTCACAACTCAACTTTCTCCTAGCAACAAACTCTGCTTAGTTGGGTGGACTCTCTGGACATCCAGCTCAAAACCCGGCACAAAAATGACCAGGTAATTGCCCCCTCCGACTTGTGACTGTATAGCCCTTACTAACACGGGGAATTGGGTGGCTGTAGATTATTGTGCGGTTGTAGCGGGCTGTCATTAGCTGACTTTGGCTAATGACTACTTTAAGCCTTTTCATCTATGATTTTTCCCTACCTATCACATAACACAATTCCTTCGGGTCTGAAAAAACTCAGCACTGCGACTGGTTACAGAGCTCCGATTCGCTTAGTACACGCGATTAAGACGGACACCGAACTGCGTG